TAAACTTATTAGTTACGAAATTCATGGATTCAACAAGCATGGCACTAGGATAACATAGATTTCCATAAGCATTCTCTTTAATTATTGATGATCCAATTGTAGAATTTAACCCAATATTATCAAAATTTTTAGAGATAGCAGCTGCTTGAAATGTTAAAATTGCTAAAACGACTGTATCATGCATGCTTGCCATACTCCTAGGGTGGGTTAAATTTATCTGATGGCCACTAAAAATTATTTGTCGACATCTTCTAAATTAGTGTGCATGCTCAAAGCTACAAAATCAATTATGAACCTATCCCATCAACTCATTATAAAAGGCTTGAATTATGAGCTATTCTGGTAAGCTATGGTGGGGATGTTTCTGCAGTAGCTCCTTAAATTTCTCATATGCTTCATAAATTGGTTCTCCATCTTGTTGGGTAAAGGAGGTGATATCATTTCTAATTTTTATCATTTTAGATGGAGAGAAATATTTTACTAGGAATTTTGGGCTATTTGTTCTATACGGTGATAATTTCTAGTGCTAAAAAATTATGTCATAACTTTGCCTTATCTTTCACCGAGAAAGGGAAAATTCCAAGTTAAACAACATTGTCAGAGACATCATTAAATGAAAAGGTAGCGCATATTTAAAGGAAGTCGGCTAAGTATAGGTTACGACTTTCCATGGGTAATCCCCCAAACTAGTTATTTTGTTCCATCTAAATAAAGGTAGGTTTGAGTTTGAAAGAAAGGCTTCTACAACAAAGTTTTTGGTGCTTAAGTAAATTGCTTCTACCAATGGGTTGACAAATTCCCTAAGAAAACTAGGAATGAAATGGGGTCTTGGCACAAGAAAACTAGGAATGAAATGGGGTCTTGGCACTGTGTTCATTTTGAAATATGTTTTTCATTTCTCCTAACTTCTTTTATGTCTTTTTTTACTTTTCTAGTTTTTTTAACAATTTTTTATAGTTCATGGCCATAGTATACTAGTTCCAAAATTCCATAAGCATACACAGTAAGGACAAATTAGTAAAGGGACCCTAAACTAACAGAGTAAAATAGGTGAAAACTAAAACTAAGTAAATCACATGTTGGAAGTAGAAAGCAAACAACACAAAAATTTTTCAAAATAAATATAAAGCAAGAAATAGGTGCACTAAATTAACATTGAAACAAGAAACACACACAGAATATTTCTTAGAATTTTTTAAGCCGAAGATTTACAAATAAATTGCCATAATTTTTCAAAGTTATTGTTTTCAATCCTAAATCCTAATGATTCAACTAAAATTTCCCTAACATTAGAGATTCAATGTCATTTTCTGGCAAAGATCCCAAAAATTTGATGCAGGCTAAATATTGTGAAGCACCAATGAATCACATAAATGTGCATGTCGTCGAAGTAGCATTCAAACTAGACTTCTACATTGATCCCACCAGGAATGAGTGAATTTCTAAGGTGAAAATTTTTATCTTATCAGTTTTGAATCTAGCATGAAAATACGAAGTAATGATATTTTTGAAAAGTCATCCCAATTTTTGAAAAAAAAAATCATAAGCGAAGAATGTGTGGGTATTAATGGAGTTGTACAATGCGAGTAAATACTCCCCTAAATTGATTCTGTGAGAATATAACTTTAATTTGGTGATGGAACTAGTGGATGATAATCAGGAACAATTTTCTCCTTATCACCTCTCGAGTATGTAAGAAGGTTTGTCAATAATAAAGGTTTAGTTCTCTAACTAATGAGATTAGCCAGAGATTTCATTTTTCCCTAAAGGATTGCACTAACTAAGAAGGAATATTCCTATTCTCCTAAAATAAAGTGTGTTAACATAGTCATTCCACTAAGGTTTCTTTTGAAAATTGAAGATTATAACTTGTTTGAATAATCCAATTAGCTAGGTTTAAAGTAAGCAAAGAATTGAAAGATAAAACATCACCTTATAAGAAATTTTGTAAAATTACAAAAGAGAATTCAAACATAATATTCCTACATAACCAATTTAAAGGAGAAAGAATATTCCACTCACTAACCATGCTTAAAAATAGCAACTTCACTATTTCGTTAAAAGTAAGTATCAACAATAAGAATTTAATGGATAAAACCTAATTAGTCCAGTAAGAACTTTGCAAAATTATCTCTCGTACTTCTCCAAATGATATTTTGAATGTATGAACATGATTACACACTTACAAATTCTCACAATCTCTCCTCACATCACTCACTTGCACAAAGACTCTCTTGCTCTGGATTTCTATCTCCACTCCCATGCAAATAGAATAATGTGAGGATCTTGTTTCCCTTGGTTGAAGAATAGTTTATAAATTAGATCGTGAATCAGTGCCTATGAACCACTGAAACCATCAAAGGCATTGGTCACTTGCGTCCAGGCACTAGTTACTGGCATCTAAACGATAATTACCGACACTTAAGTGTTGCGGCCGTGATGCATACTTTCTAGCTACTCAGGTTGTAGTTCTAAGGGATTGGGCTCCTATGTGCTAATATTTAGATCCTAGGCGTATAGGCTTTGATGCCTAGATTTTGGTATCATGGCTCCTACTTTTTCCATTCGTTATATTTTGAGACCAAATTTGAGCTTTATGTGCACCTAGGTGCTCTACTTCAGCACCTAAGTACCGCTCCTCTACTTAGCATCCATCTTTTGTTCTTTAGCTTTGATGTATCTTCTTCCCTGAATCCTACAAAATAAACTACAAACAGCTTCTAAAGGTGCAAAGTTAACATAAAAACATATCAAAATAGAACATAAATAGTCACGTATCTAATACATGTAAGTAAGCTACCTGTCGGATTATCATGGTCCACCCTTTATCCGGTAGCTTAGATATGTCATAATTGCAGGAGGTTTCCCTTATTGAGTTGCTAAAAATTATCTAGGTGTCCCATTTCTTTTGAATTTAAGCAAGCAAGGATTACTTCTTTTATCAAGGGTTCTTTAGTATCTCATAGGATGTGATTGTCCACAAGGATACATCACCGCGAGAGATCACTCTAAAGCTAAAACTAAATAAATTTGATTTTTTCCTATAGTTCAAAAATGAGAGTCTCTTATAAGACTTTCTCATATTTTTACTAGGGTTAAGTATGGTCTCATTTATTCTTTGGACCACTCTTCCCCAGTTCATGTTACAATGTCATTTTTTAAGAAATATTTATGTGTATCTTTTTTTTTTCTTTTTATTTGTCTAGTTCATTATTAATTTTTCTTGTTATGTTTTTTTAGTCATAGGTCAATTGGAAAAGGAGTTCTAAAAAGGCAAATATGAAGAGGGTCCATTCAAAACAAAATAGAGTGTGAACAACCAATAGTATTTAATTGCTTCTCATGTCATATTGGTAAAGTTAGTCAAGTTAAATGTCTTAAGAACACATTAGAGGAGCCATAATATTTTTGGCAAAATATAGTTTGTCATGTCAATATGCATGCAATTAAAAATTATACTTTTCTTGCCTTAATTGAAAGAACTCTCATAACTTATTTTATAAATGCCCATCTGTACTCAATATGTCATTTAAGAAAATGTATTAAATAATTAGGTCATTGTATTAAATAGTAGCCACATATATACATATACTATTCTTTTTAATAAATTATGAAACTCAATTGTATGTAGATTCTCCCTTTTTTATTTCAGATCATAAGCAATAAAATAAAATTGGGTTGAAATGCAAATTTAGCCACCTAATTATACAACTTTGTTAAACAATGGTCAACTTCATTACAAGCATAGAATTTAGAGAAACTAAGATAAAAATATCAAAATAAGTTTGATGAACAAACGCTAAGACTTTTTGCTATAGAAAGGGAAAGTACAATAGGATGATTTCCAAAGTGATTCGTAGATTTCACGTGTTTTATTCATAATACCAACTTACTTTGGGGATGTTTAGTTGGAAGGATTTGTTGTGTACTATGATTCTTTTATGGGTATTTTATGAAATTATGTGTTTGGTATGACAAATTACAAATACAATGTAAAATATGAATGGATTTTGAAATTCAAACCTTAGTTAATTTTGACTGAATTTAGAATTTGGCCGAATTTGAGTTATGCAGTTAAATGCTATCGGCAGGTCGATGCCTCTGGCCCCTACTTGATGCCTGTCGTCATTGCCATCGTTGTCGGCCCCCACCACTACAGTTAGTCCCTGCTGCTCGTCTGCTTTCGGACGTCTGCCGCCACCACTATCCATTCT